CATACTCCTGGCCACTGAGTTCCAGGGTTAATAGTATTTTCTAAAATATTTCTAAAATGTAAAAATCTTTATTTCTTAATTTTTTTTCTGACCAGGTGATACACTTTTGGCCATTCAAGCACCTTCTGGTACACAGCTGGAGGTACCTATTCCAGAAATGGTGTGTATGTAGGATAACTTTGGTTAAAATGCATCTGCTGTTCAAGAGGGACAAAAGTTTATTTTCTTTAGCTGAACATGACCTAATACTTTCAAGTTACTGCTTTTAAGTTGTCTGAAAGTGTTGATATCTGAATTTGGATGTCTTCAGTACTTAGGTAAAATTATAGAAGGGATTGAATCATTTAGCATTTTCTTTTCTTTAAGTTTGATTTTATTTGAGCTAGAAGATATCAAGGAATGTGTAATGATATAATCAATAATCTTAAAAAAAATCAGTCTGACTATATCTATAACCAATATAACAATCCTGACTGAGGAGAATTCACTTTAAATATCAACAATAATATATTGCTCTCAATTCAGTCCTTTAAAAAACGTTTTGTGGCTTATTGAGTCAAAGATACTTATCGACTCTAAGCTAATACAAGTTCCATTTTAGTTTTTTTGGATTTAAATCTCCTGAAACAAACTGACTTGACAATTATCACCACCAAAAAAAGAGGTAGAAAGATTTACTATTATCATCTTCCCCCCTCCTCCCAGCTACTCTAGACGTTTGTATTTAGGCATTTCTATTACTGGATTCTGAAGCATCAGAATACAAATTACCTTTTTGAAATGGAGGGACTTTAAATTTGTATCTGTAGGCAAAGTCAGCTGTCTTGGTGCTTTAATGAATGGAAAAAAAGTTTTGACTTGGGCAATAGCTGCCACTTAGGACAGTGTGTTGGGATGACCACATCCATGGCGGCCGATGCCAGGGGATGGACTTCCATAGATACGGACAATGCTTGGAGCACTGAGAACACTGACATGTATGATTACAGTAAAAATGGATGGTTTACAGAATTCTACAACTGCAAGTTTTTGATGATCAGGACTTGAGAAAAGCTTACTTTTAGGGGCGAGTAGTTCATATGCCCTCAATATCCCATTTCACTCTTGGTCTCTACTCTTGTTTTGACTTAGTGACTTTATTTTGTTGTATGTGTTTAGTTAGTCTCTAGCAGCTTTGCCTGTCTTATTTTTAATGTTTCAAGGTAGCTAGAAATGTTGACATTTATTCATTTGTTTATACCTAATAACTTCAAAGGGTCAGAATGGACAAAAGAAATACCAGATCAATCTAAAGAGTCATTCAGGACCTATCCACGTGCTGCTTATAAATAAAGAATCCAGCTCATCTAAGCCCGTGGTTTTCCCCGTTCCCCCACCTGATGACCTCACACAACCTTCCTCCCAGCCCTCGACTCCGGTGACCCCACAGAAATCCAGCCCGGCAACTCAGAACCTGCCTGAGCAACACGTCCCCGAGAGAAGCCAGAATGTTCAGCAGACACCGGCCACAGACTTATCTTCAGGTGGGTTCAGGGCCTTTGTTTTAAAAAGTAGAGCAGGGGAAATATAAATTCTATATTAAACAAGTTGGAGAGCTTTTCTGTATTTGTCAGTTGTGACTTTATTCTATTATCTGGTACAGGAGGCAAAATTTTAAACTTGATCAACAAGTAATTTCGTGTCTCCTGTGTGCCCAGCACTGCGATAGGTATTACGAGGAAAATTTAAAAACAGATCTTGTCTTTAATTATATCACTACATACTTTTCTCATAGGCTGTGTGAATATATATATTTATGCAATTTTCCTTAGGGTTCCATTTTTAGAATTAGACCAAATTTGTTCCCCCCACCCTCCTTTTACTATTTAAGCTTTTTATCTGAGATTTACTTTGTTAAGGTTCTTTTCTCTCTTAGTAACTCTACTATACACAAGTGAAATGTGCTTTAGCTACCTTTAAGAAAAATGATACCAGTGTAATTAGTGACTCATGCCTCCTGTTCTCTGCATTTTCTATTGTTATACTTTTTTTATTTGGAAAGCTTAGTTTTACAGAGTTGATAAGTGGTCTCAACTATAATTATTTAGGAAGTTATGCCTTCCTAAGTTGCTTCATCTGTGAATTGATAAATAGTCGAAACTCTAAAAACTGGGCATCAGGAATACAGCCACATGTCCTAAGGTTCCCTGGTACCCAGTCTTTCCCCTGGGTTACATGGCAAGGTATTTCGCAGCTCCTTAGTGATTCTAAATAAAGGACCATGGTTGATGCTCTCTCAGTGGTTGCTGAATGAATGATTGCCATGCCAGTACAAACACAGTACAGCAGATAATTAAAAACTTGTTTATCTTTACCTTTGGGATGTGGTCTACTCTCCGAGTTCACAGTGGTTTAGAGTGAGACTAAAAAGATCTCACAGACACAGAGTATTTTCTAGCTTCCTGTTGTTCATACCCTTCCCCTATAAGTATTTCTATACCATAGGCCGCAGGGGTGCACAACAGAAAGTGTCAGCCTTCGAAAGCTTATACCCTAATTATAATCCCAATTAGGGATGAATAAAGTAGGCTGGCTTTGTATAGTTTAGCTTAGACACAATTAGTACATTGGCTTCCACAAAGCATTAAAAAACTTTTGAGTACTTCATTTCTGTACATGATTTTGTATTTGTAAGATTTGTAAGGTAAGAGAGGGCCTTGAGTATCAGGCTGAGTTAGGGCTTCAGAGGATAAAACCAGTGAAGATTTGTGGCCAGGGAGGTGGCACGTTTAGAACTGTATCCTGGTGAGCACAGAAGTAGCATAATTAGGAAAGAAGAGGCTGTTGGCCGAGGGGAGAAGAGATTAGAGGCAGCGGAGACAAGATTAGATATTTGTAGTTACGAAACTGTGAGAGAACACTGAGGCTAAAATGAGGTGATGACAATGGGATTGGAACAGATTTGAGAAATACTGTTCAGGCAAAATAAGTAACATTTGATGTTATGAGCTCTAATGATAAAATTAACAGGAGGAATGGAAAGTGATGTTGAAGTTTTAAGGTTGGGTGATTGGGAGAATCACGGTACCACTGACGTTTTAAGACTTGAGGAGTCAGATTTGGGAGAAAAACGATGAGTCTCTTGGCCTGTATCTAGAGTTTGGAAGTTTAAAAGTAATGCCAGGTAAGAGCAGATGCCATGAAAATGCCGTGTTTCCATTAAGTTCTAGTATTTTAATTTTGTACTGTTCATTAAGCTTTATCACATTTCTGTCTCCAGCAGGATCTATTAGTGGGGATATCATTGATGAGTTAATGTCTTCTGATGGTAAGTAGTTAAAAAATTTTAATAACCATCTTACACATCAATAATGCTTTTCTAGAATTTATAAGTGGCACATGATTTAAAAGAACTGAAGAACCTATATATTTTTTAACTGCTTAATATACTATGATGATTCATGAAAAGTCTCCCTTAATACTCTATAGTAAATCATAGGCATGCTTCAGATTTTTCCTTGCCTGCATTCTGAGGAAAAAGAATTCGTAAGGGGAATAGTTACCATCTTCACTGAATAAACTTCTAAACTGTTGGCACACTAGCCCTTTTTATGCCTGGAGAACTCGGCCAAGAAGAGTAGAACAGTGTATCTAAGTCAACAGGTAATCTGAAAACGTAAGTTTTGTAAATATCCCCACTGTGGCCAATTTCAAGCTGCCAATGTGAAGTCACTATTACTAATGTTAGCTTTGTCATCATCTGCTCTGAAATAATTCTGAAAAATCAACTAGCTACAATACTGTAGTTACTTTAATAATTACTCTCGGGGCCTCCAAGACTCTGAATCCGTATGTTCTTGGATTCAGAGTCCTAGTTCCTGACAAATACATAATAGCTGAGACCCAGGAAGTGGCAGCTGCTAAATTAGCAAATGGTACGGCAACCACCTCGAGTTTATTAAACACTTCTGTAAACACAGAGAATTTCAGCATATTTATTTTTATGTTTAGTTCCTTTCTGTTTTCAAAGTGATAGCTCACTTAGCAGATCAGAGAAAATACTTTGACCAGTGTTTCTGAATCTTAAATTTTAGTAACAAGTTCAACCACTAAAAAGCTTAACCTTTCTCAAGCTAATGCAATCAGTGCATAGAATGTCTTTAAGCAAGAATCATTTAAAATATACACAAAATACCATGACTACAATGCAGTCATAATTTGACTATCACTTTTCCTGTGTATTTTTAAAAAGCGCCTGTACAACATGGGTAACGTATTTTGTACTTTATGCCAGTCATCTTTGCCTGTATGTAGAAACCATCTTTAACACTGAATTTGTTTCTCGCTTGCAGTGTTTCCGCTCTTACGGCTTTCTCCGACCCCGGCCGATGACTACAACTTTAATTTAGATGATAATGAAGGAGTTTGTGATCTGTTTGACGTCCAGATACTAAATTATTAGATTCCATGGAAACTTGGGACTATTATCTACCTCTAACTGTGTAACATTTTAGACTTCTTAATAACCTAAGTATTTAAAATAATGAATGTAACTCCTTTTTAGTTCACTGATTCTGACGTGTTCTTCCCTAATACTTTCTTTTTTTACTTCACAAAACTTCAACCATAAAAACAAAGGGCTCTGATTGCTTCAGGGGAAAAAGTGATTGCCTAGCCACCAACCCCCACCTTCAAAGTCATTACATTCTAGAATTTCAACTTTTCTTCCAATTCTGAATCCTTCTGTTTTTTCCTCATATGAGAGGAAAGTTAAAGTAGACTTAAGGTCATCAAAAAAAAAAAAAAGTTGGCCAAGGGCTCATCATTTGTCTGTCTTATATTTTTACTGCCAAGAGTCTGTCCACATTTCTGTGTGTCCTCCAAACCAAACAGAGATTCACTGCCACTTATAAAGTGAAGGGTGTAAACTAGGATATATTAACTGTTTCAGTGAACAGATTTTGTGAAGTGCCTTCTGTTTTAGCACTTTAAGTTTTTCACATTTTGTTGACTTCTGACATTCCACTTTCCTAGATTATAGGAAAGAGCCTGTTTATGTAGTTTGTTTGGAAAATGTGCCAATGCCTGTACATTAACAAGATTTTAAAAAATAAAATTGTATGAAACATTTAATTTATTGGTCTATTTGGGGAATTTACTGCATGACTGGTGTATTACAGCTGAGCCATTAATCTTGTAGCTTCATCAACGTTAACTGGTTTGTCTTCGCGACGCTGCTCAGGAATCTGGAGAGAGAAAATTATACTTGAAAATTTAGATAACAATAGCGAACAAAAATGACATACACTCTGTTACTCAATTTAACTTTTTCTAGTCATACATTTGGAAATAGGACAATAAATTCTCATATTTAGACTCAATGTTTTAAGAGTCTGAATATGCTGTACGTACTACAGAACCAAGTACTAAACGTTACATTCCACTTACAGGCTTTGAAAATTTGGAGTTTAATTTACGAGCCTTCAATTTATTAGCTGTAACAAAAGGAAATGATTTCTACTCACCAGCTGTTTCTGCAGAGGTTCAAGGCAAAGGCCTCTTGAGAAATGTGCAAGTTCCTTTTGTATATCTATAAAGGCTTTGTTCATTCTGTTCACTTTTTCATCATTCACAATCTTTATCTTTTAAAAAAAGAAAGAGCATTAATCCATGATCTCATAACCATTAAGGATGAAATACAGGCAACCTTAATTTCATCTTGTTAAACCCCTAAATCTAAAAACTCTGAGCAACCTACCAATTTGTGGGGATAATTCACACGAAAACTCTTATCATCTTATTGGTAAATGTTAGCCAAAAGGTTCTGGGTTTTTAAAGTGAAAATTATGTGGGTGTACTTTGTACCTTGACTTTCCTGGTGTAAGCAGGCCAAAATATGTGACCACAATCTTTTTAGGCTCTGGCGCTATCACTTCACATTGTAAAATGAGGAACCTGGATTGAATGTTTCCAGCATCCTTCTGACAGTAAGTACATCTCTGAATCCTCCCTTGATGAAAGTCCCTGGTGCTCTGCTGAGGACAACAGCCCTGGTAGCTCCCACCTCTTGAATCTAAAAGGTGGAGGTGATGCTCCCCACTCGTTCCTCACTGCTGCTCCCAAACAGTCCTCCTTCGAAATTCTCAGCTCCTTTGCACCTTAGGCATCAGGACATTCTGACACCCCTTTCCTCGTGACTGTCACTACCAAGACCATGACTACTTGCTCCTTCATGAAAGACCTCGATCCTTGGCTCTCTGACCTCTCTCATGCCTGTTTAGTGGCTTCAACAAAAATCTAATCCTATGGCTTCTTGATCTCTTCTGGTCCTCATCTCCAGGGGTCCTGTCCACTACCCACCCCAGCCATCCACTCCCACGCATCATCTTAGGCTGTGTCATCACCTGTCACCACACCACATCCTATCCTTCTGGTTCACTCCGTTTAACAATTCTTAAATCTCACTGAAACCTTTTCCTGCCAAGTTCACTACTTTTCCCATTTTCATACCCTTTTTCCTTTAGCACAGATTCCATGACCACTAACCCATCACTTTACACTTTCTTAACTTGCTTTCTCTTTTCCCTCAATCAGACTTGCTTGGTGACCTAGTTAATCTCAACTGTCAGCCTTTTCTGACCCTAAAACTGAAGCTGTAGAAAATCATAACTGGCTGACAGGCTTCGCTTTAAATTCATGACCTCCAACTTCAACTGACCATTTAGTTCACGCCTGGCAATCTTATGACCTCCCCCTCGTAATTAAGTTTCTCTACTTTCTGTGAAAACAATTCACTACTTTCTCCAACCAAGCTGCCTACCCACTTATCTTTTCCCGTAGCATACAGAAAGCTTCTAGGAGTTCCTATCTAAACAAAATCATCTTCCTCAAACATGCCAAGCTTTTCCCTAGCTTGGGGCCTCTGCACTTGCTCTCTTTCTGCCCAGAATGCTGCTCCCAACACTTCCCAGCTCTCTGCATCACTAGCTCCTTATCACTCAGGTCTTGGCTTCAATGTCAACCTTGAAGACAATTCTACGTAAAACTGTCACCTTCAAACTCCTGTCGTATCACCCAGCTTTATATCCTTTATAGCATTTCCAAAAGTCACAAAACTGTTCCACTAAAACACTTAAAATACTTCTGTGGGCAACTATGATAATTACTGAGTCCTGGAGAGCTGACCCTCCCTACTACTTAAACTTGAAAACATTTTCTTGAATAATCATCTTAAACAATCTGCCTAATGTTGAAGGAATTCCCCATTCCAGATATTTTGAAATAAGGAAGATGAAGCAACTCCTTTCTTTTTCAAGTTTTGCACTTTAAGAAACAAAATATCTTCTATTTATAGGTTTTTGTTTGAGTCCTGGATATTTTCAGAGAAAATCTCTGTATCTTGGCTTCTGTTAAGAGGTTCTTGAAAATATCTGACTTCAGAAATAACTGTTTTCAAAGATAACTTTATGATTTCTGTGCTCTAAGGAAGCTATTAAAACTGGTATTTGAAGCTTCACACATTTGCAGTTAAAATGCTCTTTTTGCACATCTGGATTCAAGAAAGGGAGGTTATTCTTCCTCATTTTTAAAAAAACATTTAAAATCATCTTGCCTTCGTAGGAAAGGCTAAGATACCTGTTTTAAATAACATTCAGTTTTTGAGTGGCTCTACAAGCGTGCTTTGCTTGTAAACAATAAAGGGAGAGTGCGTAACTGATACTCACCTTCTTAAGATTAGTGGTAACTGGTTTTGCTTTATTTTTAACCTTAAAGCCTTTTTGGCTGGCTATGTGGAATACATTCCTGGACTTCTGCCCTCTTAGTTTGTTCTTGGCCATTGTCTAGGAAAGAAAGAAGAGGAGCTCCATTAAGCTGCCCACATTTCTGAACTGTAAACTAATTTAAGTTTTTCAAGTAAAAGTAAGAAATCTAAGAAACTCCATCTTACTCTTGGTTCTTCTTGAAGTTGCTGCTTATGTTAAAATTATTTCCATGCTTTGGGCCCCTACCAGATTTTCTGTTTGAGTGCAGAGCGTGTGTCTAATTCTCTACATCTCCAGCACTTGGCCCACAGGAGGCTCCACATGAATTTCTGCTGGTTGAATTCATTAATTAATATTATCAGCACAGTAATTGTTTTTGCTGCTCTCTGCAGCATCTGACAACGCTAACCATCACCATCCAACCTTCTCTGGTTCACATACTGCCAATCTGCTCTATTTCATATTCTAGGACCAACTCCTGTCTCCTTCCTTCCTTTCACCCCTTTTTACTCCTATGTGCACCTTCTCCAAATCAGTCCTTAATCTTGCACTTCCCTTCCCAAAGTACTTCCACAACATCCGTATCACCTCTGTGTGAATGGCTCTTGCCTGAGAACTTTCTATTCTCTCTGTTCTACAGCTAAACACACACTACGCCTGTACATTCCACCCTAGGGACATCTCTCCCACTTGTCTTTAACAATGCATGTGAGGAACAATTTTAAAAAATTAAGATTTATTGAGCTTTTACTATTTGTACTTTGTACAAGCACTATGCTAATTAACATTTTATGTGCTTTAATTTACTCTTTACAACAACACTTTGTGGGAGGTACTGTTTTATCCTCATTTTGCAGATAAAAACAAAAATGATGCAAAGAGAAGTTAATATGCCCATTGTCACACTGTCAGTAATCAGGGAATGCCAAGATTCAAAGCCAGGCGGACTGGATCCAGAGCTCTCATTCTGTGATATGGCCTCTCATATAGAAATAAAAATGCAATACCGAAACATGATTTAGTACTGCCTAGTTCAGGGCTGCGTTACTGCTGTAATCCCTATATGTATTTGGTTAGACTATGGGTTGGAACAAATTATACCCATGGACCAAATCAGGTCAGGGACCTGTCTTTGTAAATGAAGTTTTTAAATAGAACACAGCTATGTCCATTTGGTTATGTATTGTCTGTGGCTGCCTTCCTGCTACAACTGCGCCCTGCAAAGCCTAAAATATTTACTATTTGGCCCTTTACAGAAAGATTGTCAGTCCCCGACTTGAGCCGTATGCATTCAAGTTTATCCTGCATAGTGTCACGTAATGAACCGTCCCACTGTTAAAATCCTTCAATGGTTCTTCCAACGCACAAGGAACAATATGCTTTACCCTGGCATATTGCTAGAAGTCTGACCCTAGCATAAATCTATCAAATGTATCTCCTGCTCGTTCTCTTTACCCACCTGGCCTAGTGAACTCATAGCTCTCTGAAGACACCCTGCGCATTCTTCCTTTCTTTCCTTTGCTCACATTGTACCTCTTGACTGAAATTTATATCCTTCAAAGTCTAGCCTCAGGAAATTGCTCAACAGAGACAGCAACGCTTCTGAACCCCAAAAGCACTCCGAATTAGTGAACACAATAGAAAACACATTATTAAATAAGATACACATAAGTCAAATTAAATAATCTAAAATCCTTCCAATAAGTAACCAAAATGCGATCATTCATACACCATTCATTAAGCAATTACTATGTGTCAAATGTGACAGAGGACAGACACGTACGTGGGAAACTTACAAACACAAGACGTAATAACAGGTGCTGTTATAGGCCGCATACAGGTGAGGTCACAAAAGGGAAGGAGCCAACAGAGCTGGAGCCAACGTGAGGAAGGTTCGTGGAGGTGAAACCTAGCCAGGGGGATAAGGGTTTTCTTGCACAACCGCGTGGAAACTGGCGACAACAGAACAACCAAAGACGGGGACCCTGCGAGCTGAAGGCCTAACAGGCACCGGGGTTCGGAGCCTGGGCCAGCGGGCCTGCGGCCGACTGAGCTGCCTGCGAGACGGGACCGAGCCTACGGACAGCAGCGGCCCACGGCCCGCCAATCCCGTCCCAACCCCCGACACTTCACGCCAGCCCTACGGAAAATTTCTTTATTAACCTCTCACCAGACCTCGGCTATCCTCGCGCAGCTGCTCACGCTCCAGGTGACGCCACTTGCACGCTCAGGATCCAGGAAGTTCCGGGAGGAGGGAGCCAGTCAAGGGTTCCGTCCACCGGAGACGCCCCGCCCACAGGGCGGAGTCCCACCCTTGCAGCTCGGGCCATAGCGATAAGCCCCGCCCACCGCTGTAGCCCCACCCACTGAGCGAAGTCCTACTTTCCCAGCACAAGCCAGTACGCGGAGCAAAGCCCCGCCCACAGAACGTCGTTCCGCCCACGGGCTGGTTGCCACCCACCTAACGTACTCCCGCCCGCAAAAGCGACGCAGCCGCGGAGCATCCTCTCCTGAACACTGCGAAGCCCCGCCCAGAGAGAGAAGTCCCACCCACCGTGGGAAGTCCCGCCCCGTTGGCATCCCTTGCCTTTCTCTGGGTCGAGGACCTGTCCTCGGCTGAGGCGTTAACGACGCAGCTAAGTCTCGAATTCCTCGGGTGGGTACGTGGACTGAAACCGCCGAGGTGTCTGAGCCATCTGAGCCACGAAGACCGTAACCCTCGTGGTCGGTCCTCAGCCGCTTTCTGCTGGCTGGCTGGGCCCACGCTCCCAGGAGGTGGCGCTGCGCACCTCTGGATGGCGTCTGGGTGGAAGGAAGTGTCTGAAAATGGTCTACAGCTATATTCTCCAAAGGGAAAATTTGTAATGAGCGGGAATCGAAATGCTTTCCTCACTGAAGTTTCCTTGCTTCAAAAAGAGAGTTTCTGACAGCACAGCAGAGACACAAGAAAATATAAGACTGTTGTAAAACAAGAATCAGGGAACTTAGAAAATCTTAGAAGAAGCATTTTTGCCTTTTGGTCGTATGTCTGTGTGTATTTCCCAATTGAGGCGTTCTGGGTTGAGTTTTCCAGAAAATTGACTCATTTCTTCCAAGAGGAGCTCTCCAGTAAGGTAACAATTTTCACACGTTCTCTGCTTATTTTGTTAAGGTCACAGAAAAAGACAGCTTTTAAACAAATGTAGGACAGACATTTTTGTAACGTACGTGAGTTCTGCTCCAAGTATCAAAAAGAGGCCGTAATACCACTTCCATGTTTTAAGTGAGGCTGCCGAGGCTCAGAGTTGAAGCCATTTTCGGGTTTCCACACAACTAGTAATTGACAAAACCAAACTAGAATCCGCGAGGGCGGGCCCTTGGTCACGTCTTCTTCGTGCCAAATCAGCCACTTGCCTGCTCATAGAAAGATGAACTGCTTTTACGGTAAATTGTCTTACTGTGTCCATCACACACACAAAAATTAGAAACTACATTAAGGAGCGAGGAATTATTACTTGGCAATGTATTTTTATTAAAATTCTGTGTCTTTTCTCAAAGACTGACTTTTAAAAACACCTTAAAATCTTGGTGTAGGGGTAAGACCAAAATGACACCCAAATGACAGAAAACCGTTAGATTCTTTCTATAAGGCCAGAGTTATCCACAAACACTGAAGCAAACAAGGCAGGTATTATTATGGTTCCTTGAACGCAAAATTATTGATGTATATGCAGAAGACAAAGAGATGCGATGGAATGACATTATAGCGTTTACTAAAACTTATGGGACTAGCCTGAATGTTGAAATGGTGAGTTAGAGATACATACACCAAGGAAATAATACGGGTATATAGGCAAGAACAGAGGCGTGACGAGCGATACCAGTGAGGAGGCATGAATTTCTGTTTCACTTCTGTCACCACCTGTGACTGTGGAAAAGTTACTTCAGTTCTCTGTGCCTCCATTTCTCACACGTAGACGGCCATTCACGATATACCCACTTCAGTGAGCATTCATTATCTGCTCAGCATCCCTTTCTGGGGAACCACCCATCTCCCTCCAAGTGGTCCTGGTTGAGCTAATAATTACCGTCATCGTCTAAAGATCTTCCAACTAAAGCTAGTGGAGAAGCTTGCGTCTTGCTCTTGCTGTCCTCGTGCTGGGACGATGTGAAATTGAGGCTGCTGATTGCCACTTTCTCCAGCAACTTGAGGGAATCCTTCTGCAGTCGGAGAAAATAAGGGTAACACAGAAGAAAACAGGGCGGAAGAATACAGGACCTTGGTGATATCATTTGAGCCCTTGGATTCAGCCGTAGATGGAAGAAAGGTCCATCCCTTGACTTCTCAGTTATCCAGACTAAAGCATTGCTTTTTTTGTTGGCTTACACTATGTTGGGTTATTTTTTAAAACCACTTGTACCTTAAAGAGTCGTTACGCTACTCTTGTCCAACCTATGTCACAAGATTATTGTCCAAAGTTAATGAAATACAAAATGTGAAAGCGTAGGGTATCATTAAGACAAAAGAAACACATCAATTTTCAAAAAGGCAATTTTCTAATTTTCTATGACCCAAATGAGCCATATATGGAAAGGAAAAAATAGCTTCAAGTTTTCTGATCTTTACAAAAAAACTTCAAGATGAATACAATCATAAAAAAAAAAAATCTTGTAGGAAACCTTAGTTTTCCTGTTGAGACCCAGCAAAGCAGAGTTCTCTATACAGATTCAGTCCTCAGAGAACTGTCTTGGAAGGATAAAGTGTTGCATTTAATTATTGTGTCTTTTTTCCTTCCAGTTCATTGAGATGTGTCGGACATTATGGCACTGTGTAAGTCTAAGGTGTATGGCAAAATGATTTTACTGACATAGATCATGAAATGATTACCATAATAAGTCTAATGAGCGTCTGTCATTTCATATAGATACAAAGTAAAGGAAAATAAAAAATCTTTTTCCATGATGAGAACTCAAGATTCACTCTTTTAACAACTCTGATATATAACATAAGCAGTGTTCATTATGTTAATTGAGTTATAGAGTACATCCCTACTGTTTATTTATTTTATAACTGAAAGTGTATACCTTTTAAGTTGCCTTCATCCAGTTTCCCTTTCCCCCACCTTGCCTCTGGTAACCATCAACCTGGTCACTTTTTCTGTAAGTTTGTTTGTTTATTGAAGTATAATTGACGTACGACACTATTTCTTGGTGCACAACATAGTGAGTCAAGATTAGTTTGATGTCGTTCCATTTTCTTATTTTTGCTTTTGTATCCCTTGCCTGACGAGACAAATCCAAAATAATATTTCTAAGACCCATGTCAAAGGGTGTACTGCTTATGCTTTTTTCTAGGAGTTTTATGGTTTCAGGTTTTACATTTAAGTCTTTAATCTAATGTAACATTATTTTTGTATATAGTGTGGGAAAGGGGTCCTGTATAATTCTTCTGCATGTAGCTGTCTAGTTTTCCCAACACCATTTATTGAGGAGGTTACCTTTTCCTTCTTACATATTCTTACATTCTCTGTTGTGGATTAATTGCCCATATAAGTGTGGGTTTAATTCTGAGCTCTCTATTCTGTCCCATTGATCTGTGTCTGTTTTTGTGCCAGTACCATACTGTTTTGATTACTGTAGCTTTGTAGTATAGTTTGAAATCAGTGCATGTGATACCTTCAGCCTTGTTCTTTCTCAAGATTGTTTTGAGTATTTGGGGTCTTTTGTGTTTCCATGCAAATTTTATAAATATGTGTTCTAGTTCTGCGAAAAATGTCATTGGTATTTTGATAAGGATTGCATTGAATCTACATATTTCCTTGGTTACTGGGGTCATTTTCATAATATTAATTCTTCCAATCTGTGAGTGTGGTATATCTTTCCATTTGTCTCTGTCATCTTCAATTTCTCTCACCAGTGTCTTAGAGTTTTCCAACTATAGATCTTTTATCTTTTTAATTAGATTTGTCCCTAAATATTTGCTTCTTTTTGATGCAATTGTAAATGGGACTTTTTTTTTCACTTCTCTTTCAATAATTTGTTGTTAGTGTATAGAAAGAAATGCAACGGATTTCTGTATATTAGTTTTGTATCCTGCAATTTTGCTGAATTTATTGGTGATTATAGAAATGGGCAGTCTTTTTTTCTTTTAACCCTTCAGTGACAGAAGCACTTAATTTAGACTCAGAATAAACACCCATGACATATTCTGTATAATAAAGTAGAATAGACCAGACCAGACCTTCCACCTTTCTGTCTAGGTCAAATTCTAGAAATTTGGAAATATCTAGAAAATTCTGGAAATATCTGCAGGATAGGAACCTATAAATGGAAAAAGAAGATTAACTCTTTGTAGTGAAGGAAAAATGGCTTACTTCTGCAGGTTAGTATAAAGTTGTAGGAGGTAGACCAGAGGTTTTGGAGTTTTACAGTGGTTTTGGAGTTTTACTATTTTCTATTGTTCAAATTCAAATATTATATTGCTTGTGTATATGTTTGTCTCTCAACGAGTCCATGGACTCTTCAGGGGCCAGGTCCACTCACCTTTGTACTTCCATCCAGGATTCCATATTTCCAGTGCATGGGAGGTGTAGCATAAACATTGGCTGAATGAAATAAAATTTCCTGAAGCATAAGAAGTAGAGAAGGGATTGTAGCTAATGCACTAAAAATGGCCTTAAAGCTCTGTCATCTTTAGCATAACTGAAAAATACCCAGAAGAACATTTCTTTCTATCTTCTTATAGTACTGTTCCTTGGGAGTGGTAGGAGCTTGACAAATATGTTTTTGTTTAAGTAAGCAGATTTTACCCAGAGTAATCTCCTGGCCAGACGCCTAGAAATCTTGAACCTGAACTAATTACAGTCACAAAGGAGGGTGAAATATCTGAAGGCAAAGAACAGTCAAGTCCATATCACAGAAGCAATAAAAATATCCAAAGAGTACATGAAGTTCTGGGTTAAAATGCAAGTAATGGTTAAAAATTACAGGAATCGGGAAATATTTGGCAGGTGCATGTTTAAAACTCAGAAAAACTGGCAACCGCAAAGGAGGCATCGAGCTATTAATTGACAATTTGACACTCCAAATTTCAAAAGTGTTTAAATGAAAAAAAAAAAAAAGGAAGGTGCTTTGAGGTAATCCAGTTTAGCTGTGCTGAAATCCTAAGAATGACATAGGCACCTGTATTATGATAAATGCAACAAAAATACTGGCTTAGACTGTACACCAGAGACTGACACATTGTAACTGAGTATACAATAAAGAAAGACAAGGAAAAAATACTGAGCACTATAGGGTATTTCACAAACATTTGGCACCTTCAAAACTTTTTTTTTTTCCTTTTGGATTAGAAAAGACATGAAGAGTCATTGTAGAAGTTTGGATAATGTGAAGTATAATGAAGAAAATGAACAACCAGCAATTACTGCATTTTGATTTAACTCACCACCATCCATCTCCCATTTGGATTCCTGTAATAGCTTCCTGACTGGTTGCCTGGCTTTAATCTCTACCCACCCCAGGAGCCCAAGGAATCATGTATCCCCTGTGCATAAAACAATGCCTAGCACGTAAAGGGAATCCAACAAATACATTTGAAAAATGAATAAATCCCACCAATTAGATTTTTTAAAATATGCCTCTTTGCAGCCCCTTTTTCTAAGCAAATATACTATGTTGTTTATTAAAAATTAAAATTTCTAGATAAAAATTTATAATCTACAAGTGTAAACATAGACACTTGTTCAGTATATTTAAAAATATATTTAATGTCTTTCTGAAATTACATCTTTTTGATGTACAATGTTATCAGCCCTCTTATGATTAGCATGTCTGTTGTTTCTAATCTCTTCTGTTACAAATACATCGTGATGGATACCTTTCTATGTAGATCTTTGAGTGATCTCCTTATATTTTCTTGGAGAACATGACTAGGAATAAGATCTAAGATTATGAACACTTAAAATACTTGATTTAAATTACCAGATTCTTTCCAGAAATTGTCTGTTATTATCTATTTTACATTTCTGCCAACAGTGTATGAACATGCTTATTTCACCATATCCTTATTAATATGGAGTGTTGATACTGTTTAAGAAAATTAAATTTTCATTAGGAAGAAAGAGCATAGAATCTTTTTAAGATGATACATCTTTTGAATTTAATATTATGTTTACAGTATAGTTTTGTTTCTTTTGTCACATTAACTGATTGCTTAGGAATCAAAATAGACAAAATTTAAAGGTGAGGGGAAAAAGACAAGCAGGAAGTATGAATATTCAGTTTCTGACTCGTGCAGCTGGGTGTGTGGCGGTGCCATTTAATAAGATGGAGAAATCTGTGATTGGGAGATTGGGATGAGAGGATAAAGAATTCCATTCTGGATACCGGAAGTTGCAGCCATTAAATACAGTTCAGTGGATCTAGGGCTGTGCTGATCAGAATAGCAGCCACTAACCACATACAGCCATCAATCATCTGCAATGGGGCTACCCTGAATTGAGATGTTCTGTAAGAGTAAATAACACATCAGATTTAGAAAACTTAGTAAGAAAAAAGATGTACAAGGCATAATTGTGTCCATTAAGATCCAACCAGGAAAGAGAAATCATACAATAATTTGAACAGGAAAAGTTTACTGTAAAGAATTATTAACTCTAACAGGGAACAAGATGTAAAAGAGAACTCTAAGGACTCTTCTTAGGCTAAGGGGGAGTTTGGAAGGAAGGATAAACTTGGCAGTCAGCCTCCTCTCCAAGGTTGGGATTCAGATCCCTGGAGAAGTGTGGTCGCAGCCCACCCACGGGATGGCAGAGAAGTCTGAGGGGTGGCCCAGGCCAGAGCAGGCCCAAAGTTGCCAGGCGAGCAGAAAATGCCCGTCCAGGGTAGTGTGGGATAAATCTGGCATATGGGTTGCAAAGGGACTCAGAGCATGGGGAACCAGCTCTCTGGCAGGGTGGTGGACACCTATGGTGTAGACGTCTGGATTGGAAACATCACGAGAGACACCACCCATGGTGCAGGCCCCCTGAGGCTGGTGGGCTGGTTTGCAGGGGGAGCTGGGGCATTGGTTTGCCAGAAGTGCTGCATGAGAACTGGAGTCTGTGGTGTCCGCTTCTGGAGGTCCAGCGGCAGGGCCACGGGCTGGGGCTGAGGCTGAGGCTGTAACTTGCTGAGGGACTGCGCACTCTCGGTGTGAGCCTGGGCCAGGGTGCCCCTATCAGCCCACCCACACGTGTCCCTGCTTGCAGCCCGAGAGTGGCAAGAAGAAAAACAAAAACTTTAGCACCCCAGAACCAGGAACCCAGTCGCCCCTCCTGCAGTGTCCCTCAACTGAAAAAACATTAACACTGTGCCCGCTGCAAAGAATTCTTAAAGCTTCATTATCACAGAGCAGGTAACGCATGATGAATTAGAGCCGAGAGATAATAAATTGATAACTCATTACATTACACACTTATTAACTATTTTTTATATTAATTCATGCCGAAACAACAGTGTTTTGAATATATTGGGCTAAATAATTCAAACATTTCATTGAAACAAATTTCACTTTTCTTTTTGCTCTTTTAAAATGTAACTAGTTGAAAATGTAAAGTTACGTATGTGGCTTGCACTCATGGCTCACATATAATCGTGCATGATGCTGGAAAAGATACCTAAGCTATGTAGGTTACATACGAGATATTGACAGAAGCACCCAGGAAGAGAGCGTTGAGAGGACAGAGCCTAGCTGAGAGCCCCAACCCCTGCCCAGATTTAAAGGTCGGTGTGATGGTCAGTTTCACGTGCCAACTTGACTGGGCCACAGGGTGCTGGGATATTTGGTCAAACATTATCCTGGGTGTTTCTGTGAGGGTGTTTTTGAATGAGATTAGCATTTATATCAGTACACTGAGTAAAGCGGATTGTCCTCCGTAATGTGAATGGGTCTTGTCCAATCAGTTGAAGGCCTGAATAAAACAAAAAGGTTGCACTTCTCCCAAGTAAGACCTAATTCCTCCTGCCTGCCTGCTGATGAACTGGGACCTTAGCTTTTTACTGCCCTCAGACTGGAAAGGAAACACTGGCTCTTCCCAGGTCTTAAGCCAGTTGGCCTTCAGGCTGGATCACCATCAGCTCTCCAGGGTCTCCAGCTTGCTAACTCATCCCGCAGATCTTGGGACTCAGTTTCCATAATTGTGTGAACTAATTCCTTATAATAAATAGCTTTCTAACACACGTGCACACACACACAGTATGTGGTTCTGTGTCTCTGAAGAAACCTTACTAACACAGTTGAGTTAGAAAGAAAAACCCAAGGAGCACCAGAGAGAATAGGTGGGTAGCAAATGGGGGGTGTATGTGTGTCCAGGGAGAAACTTTTTCCCTACGAAGAGAAAATTCTAGAACACATTAGTACGCTGATGGCAATGATGAAGAGGAAGTAGAGTTGGTAATGTGGGTGATAAAGGCTATAATGGTATGAGTTTGGGAGGTGGGGTTTGCTAGGTGTGCCAGGCTAGTGCATAAAGCCTTCAGTGGTGGCACCGTGGTGTCCAGGTGGGGAACTGCTTGGCGTGAGGGTGTATCGAGCCTTGCCTAGTGCTGAGATGGGGATCTGGGTACTGTTCTTGATAGACTAGCCTGCCCTTTCCTAGGGGACAGAAGAGGGTAAATAAACTTTATAAGAGCTGATGACAGAATGTCTGTTCACACCCTAATTTCTCTCTGTCATTATATTTCAGAGAGTTGACAGCAACAGGGTGACTTTGACTTACTCATTCCAAGCCAAGGGACAATTAACTCAGTTCTTTGGCAGCTGAATTCTTTTGGCCTGAATGATCTGGACTTTTCAACACTGTTCTGATAGTTACACAGCTTCATTTCTTTTTAAGTAATCTTAGCTCTCTCCTTTCTTCTTTCACACTCTATCCACTTTTATAACACGCTCAAATAAGACATGAAACACTATAAGACGTAGATACATTTCTGTTAGGAAACCATGTGAGACTACACGAAAGAACAAAAATGTAGAAGGCAGGTTTTAGCAAAGTGCTCTCGTCTGACAGTACAGGACACATTGTTTGGATCTAGTTTCTGACAAGTTACAATCTGAGAAGTGACTTGAGAGGTGAGTCATTTTAGGCACTGTTTCAATTCAGGTCTGAGAATTCTCATCTTGGCGTGAAACCTCGGTGCCTTGAGCAAGACCTTTAGTCCCTTCGGGCCTCAGTGTAATCTCCTGGAGAGATTGCCTTGTGCAATCCTACCCTCAGAATAACCTTAGGACTGAGAAATGAAAGAAATCAAATCGAACGTAGTATCCGCTCCATAAAATCAACACTCGCCACAAGATATCAAATAAATCAAATCATAAGAGAGTCATGGGATTAATGAGTCCCAGCTGTGCAAGTCACAGCGCTTGATAAGTGAAGGAAACGGGCACAAACTGAAGCACCTTGGACTTGGGAATCTGCAGACTGGGGCTGTGTCCCTGACTGTGTGGCTTGCCTCTCTAGGTGACTAAGGAACGAGGAAACTTGCTCAGGTCAGTTTCATGCTTGGAAAAAGTCAGATGAAAATAGCCACTTCAGTTCACGCTGGGTGTTTTAAAAGAATCCCTGGAAAAAGTGTGCATCTCAGAGGAAGAGTCTGTGTATAGCCCCTAACAAAAGAATATTAATCCATACCTAGATATTTCCTTAATGTGCTACTATAACTTAATTAAATGGCTAGAGTTGTAACTTACAAGTGCCTCTCGCAATGTGCAGTCTGATTCATTGAGGAGAGGTGACTTAAGCATGCTTTTCTGCAAAGGAACTTGTACTTGATCTAACTGGCTCAAGAGTGAAATGGAGATAACGACCATAGCCTTGGTCAGGATTCCTGGGTTCTCTGGTCAGTGTTAATCTTCCTTGTTTATACTCGATGGTTTGAACTCAGAGACAGAGGCTTCGTGTTAAGAAGAAAGCCTCTACAGAGTTATAAAAGGTTACTTAGCAAGCTCATAAGTTCACTGATTTGAGGGGGTAGAAGGTTTCTGTCCCCGCCAAATTCTTTTGAAAAGAACTAAAACCCACAGGAAAATTGTAAAAACAGCATCGTGAGCCCCCAAATATCCCTCAGTGAGTCACCAATAACTGACTGAGACATTTGAGAGTCAATTGCAGACAACAGGGTGCTTCACCCTTATGGCTTCAGCATTCTCTCTGGTGAATCCGTCTGAACCATGTGAATTTTTTTTTCTTCTTTGAGGTCACTGAGTGATCGTGAATGAGGAAGGTAGCAGAATAATGTTGATGGCTTTTCTGACTTAGCATGCCTGCCAAATATCAGAATTCTTGGTGGTGACGCCATCTGTCTATCTTAGGTAATTTTAACTAAGAGTCACACCATTCATCTTGAAAACATAGACAAAAGTTCTTGAACGTTGATCATAGCTAAGAAGAGTCTGAAGCTGTTATGATTTGGGCATCTTTTCTTTTTTTTTTTTTTTAAGAGGAATACAAAATTACAAATACAGAATTAGGTATAGAGCCTTATAAGAAGTTCGTAAGCGAGGAGCCATAAAGTTTGTTTTATTTGCTTAATTGACGTTGGGCTGTTATTGCTTTTAGCATTTTTCAGTGAACAGAATATTCAAGTCCCACACCACAGTGGTCATCTTAGCTTTCACCATTGCATATTTGTATAAACCAGAATGAAAATCATTGGTTCCAGTATATTTACCTATTATTCTTTCTTAAAATATTCACAAAAATGGTTACAGAATCACAACGCCCATATTACTACCAAAATCAAATCTAGCAGCAAAGTGCAAGATTATCTTTCAGTTCTTCTTAGTACGTTATAAACCCCACTAAGGGTATTCAGACACAGTGCTCTATTCAAACATTTATTTTTTCTGTGTGGTTATATTGTCAACTTAATATACAGTTAAGTTCATTTATTTCTGTCTAAATCAATTTTAGGGTTTTTTTTAATCCTCTTTAATTTCTTTGAAAATATAATATATTTCTTTATGATTAGAAACTTAAAAAGATATACTGAGAAATTTCCCTCACACCCCAATCCTGCCACCCCATCCCCACCCATCCTCTATTAAGAACCATTTTTGTTAATTTGTGGTTTATCCGCCATAAGTTTTTTGGAGAAAATCTGCAAATATGTATACAAATTTTTCCTCCCCTTTTTAAAAATGAAACAAAATGTAATATACTAATTATGCTCTTTTGCACTTCTGTTTTTTCTTTTTTCTTTTTTCACCCCCTATCTGTTCATGGAGATTGTCTTCATTCTTTTCAAAGCTTGATAGTAGCCCATAATGCAGATGTGCTACACAGATTATCTAACCAGTTCCTGTAAATGGTAATTTGACTGTTTCTAATATTTAGGTTGCTCTCTTGGAAAACTGGATAGATTGCACAGTAAATTCAAGTCAGAGGAATTTGTGTATCCAAGCAGTAAAAGTAACAATTTGGGAAGGATTTGAAACCCACTAAATGGAACTTCTTTAGTGGTTTTGGTCCATTCATTCATTTATCTGTTCATTGAACGACTATTCTTGAGCATTAGGGACTGACATTTACCTAGAGCACAGTTCACCTTGATGTGCTAAATCACCTGAGTTACTGAAAATGGGTACACCGAGCTCCTTAGTGACTCATTCCTTGGGTTCATAAAACATGAGGTGGTTGATCTGAGACAAGGACACCATGGGAAAATGGTTCGTGGAATTTTGAGCTTCTGCAAACTCTTTCACTGCATTGATACCAGGCATAAATATATCCCCAAACGTATCTGTGTCTATAGACTTAGTGGAGAATTAGGGCACTTAGCTAAGTAGGCCAGGCTTAACTTTTCAGTATTCTTAAATGCATGGATTTATATATTTGAGATATATCTTACATGTGTGTAAGATTCATGTGTGTGTTAAACACATATATCTTACATGTATTTAAGATGTATCTAAGTATTTGATATACTTATAAAGCATATATATCTTATATGTACTTATATATTTTATATATACCCATATATGTGTGTATATAAATATATATATGTATATTGTCTTCTGTGGTGCAGGTGAATATAGATCAGACCTCATTCTTAAAAGCTTGGTTCCTAAATGAACCCAGTTGTGCCACAGAATATGGAATATGGAAGCCCAGGCTTTCCCCTAGCTGCATGAGAAGCATAAAGTTTATTGTACTTAATGCTGTATGAAAACTTTTTTCTCCCGTTGCATTCTAACCTCATTAAGATCTACATCGGCAGAATGAGCTACAGGCTCACCAGGGCGTATTTAGGTCAGGTCTAAAGAAGAATGGTTCAAATTGATCCTTATTCAGTGGTCCCTAAACAATGCAGTGGTTACTTAAAGAGGGACCTCCTGGGACTCGCAATTACCACATTGTGCAGCTGCCCTTGTGGATGGGAAGAGAAAATGAAAGATATTTAAACAGCCACTCTTAAGGCTTTCATGGAAAGAAGGCTCATGCCCATTAAGAAACTTTTTGCATTCGTTTGTCTAGAAATAACACTGCGCATTTCGATTTGAAATTTCAAACGGACCCAGCTCAAACCCTTAGGCAGCTGAAACAGTAATTATAGTCCTAGCGGGGTACACAGTTCTTATTTTTCACTCAGAACCCAGAACACCCACCACACCAGGACAGAAATTCAAGGCTCCACAGTCAGTTCCGTCTACCATCTAGGGCAGCAAGCTTATGAAGCATCCGGGAAAAGATGGTCTGGACACCTTCCTCTCTGCAGGGTCAAGACAACAGAATGTCAAAGCCAGATACCAAGTATCAGTGAGCAGCCTTGGTTCCGCCACTGCCCGAGCCGTAGGCTCGCAGAGGGCAGGGGCAGCATGAATGGGCGGGTGGAGGTCGTTCTTCTTCAACAAGGACCTCTAGGCTCCTATTAGCTGCGTGATCTCGGGCGGTTTACTTAGCTTTTAAGCCTCATTTTATTTTCTCCTGTGGGGCACTTACAGTATCTTCTTCAAAGGAGAGTTATGAGGATCTAATAGAAAAATGTGGGTAAACGTCTTAGCTAGGACTATGTCCCGTGGTAAATCCTAAATAAATAGGAGCTAATTTTTCTCCTGTGGCTATTAGCACTGCCTTTAATGCTTTGTATTTGTAATCGCCACCGCTACCATCTCCGACCTCCTCATTCTCTGCCCGGATCCCCACCTCCCAGCCTGGCGGCTCCCGGCTGGGTGACTCATTCATTCCCAGGACAGCCCCCCAGGCAACATCCTGTCCAGGATGACCACTTCTCAGAAGGCAGGAAAGCCCCTCTGGAAACCCTTCTTTCTCTCCTTCCTTCCTCTCTCCCGCCCGCCCCACCCCCTGCCTCCCCGTGAAGCACAGTCTCCCTTCCCCGAGTTCAAACTAACAGAGGTGCTGGCACCAGGGACTCAGCCCACATCCTCCCGCCCCCGCGGGGCGCCTTCCCTGCCCGCCGCTGCCCCCTGGCGGCCGAGGCCGAGACGCGCCCTGGCCCCTGGGTTCCAGGGCCCCCACTTTTGCGGGCTGAGCCCCGCGGTCCCCGCCCTCCGCCGGGCCGCTGCCCGCCCTCCCCCTCGCCCGCCCCG